TAAGAAAGAGCTTCTTTACCATTAGGTCTTGAAGAAGCTGAGAAAGCGGGGGATCAAACCGAATTTTCTCTCAGAATCATCTTCTGTGTTAGGATTCCAAGAGTGCAATAGAAGATGAACAGTAAATAAAGACAGAGTATTATAAATCAGTGAATTACTGGAGATAGAGGTTCAGGCCCTGGTTGGGGCACTTATGTGACCTGAAGCAAGCCCTTCCTTTCCCTGAGCCTCAGGTTTTGCTTCTGTGGATGACAGAATTGGACTAGACTTAGCCAAGTCTAAAAGCTAAGGCTCTTCTAGTGCTCAGATTCTAACCAATCTGATTTCCTCTGTACAAAAGGAAGAAACACTCTGTTCTTCCAGCAGTCATTTGAGTTATTATCCACATAACTGGCATAAGCCTCCGTTTTTATTTGGCTTGGCTCACTCAGCTGGGCTAAGATGGATCTTGAGAACAGAACCCTCGTGGTGCCTTAGAGATGCTATAAACGGGTAGGATGTGATCCCTGAACTGAATATTTAAACACAAGGTGTATGTAAAGAATTTTTTTAAGTTTTTAATTTTAATTCCAGTATAGTTAACATGCCGTGTTATATTCATTTCAGGTATACAATATAGTGACTCAGCAATTCTATACATTACTCAGTGCTAATCAGAAGTGTACTTTTTTTTTTAAAGATTTTATTTATTTGAGAGAGAAAGAATGAGAGAGAGTGTGCACATGAGAGGGGGCAGGGTCAGAGGGAGAAGCAGACTCCCTGCTGAGCAGGGAGCCCGGTGCGGGACTCAATCCTGGGACTCCAGGATCATGACCTGAGCTGAAGGCAGTCGCTTAAGCAACTGAGCCACCCAGGCACCCATAAGTGTACTCTTTAATCCCCATCGTCTATTTCCCCCATCCACTGCCCCTCTGGTAACCATCAGTTTGTTCTCTGTAGTTAAGAGTCTGTTTCTTGGTTTGTCTTTTCTTTTCTTTGTTCATTTGTTTTGTTTCTTAAATTCCACATGAGTGAAATCATATGGTATTTCTCTTTCTCTGACTGACTTATTTCACTTAGCATTATACTCTCTAACTCCATCCATGTTGTTGCAAAAGGCAAGATTTTATTCTTTATCATGACTGAAAAATACTCCGTTGTATTTATATACCACATCTTCTTTATCCATTCATCTATCAGTGCACACTTGGGCAGCTTCCATAGCTTGGCTATTGTAAATAATGCTGCAATGAACATAGGGGTGCATGTATTCCTTTGAATTAGGGTTTTTGTATTTCTGGGAGGTAAATGCCAAGTAGTGCAATTACTGGATCATAGGGTAGTTCTATTTTTAACTTTTTGAAGAACCAGTTTGCATTCCCACCAACAGTGCAAGAGAGTTCCTTTTTTTCCAAGCACTCACCAATCTTTGTCATTTCCTGTGTTTTTTATTTTAGCCATTCTGACTTGTGTGAGGTAATATCTCATTGTAGTTTTGATTTGCATTTCCCTGGTGATTAGTGACATCGAACATCTTTTCATGTGTCTGTTGGTCATCTGCATATCTTCTTTGGAGAAATGTCTGTTCATGTCTACTGCCCATTTTTTAATTGGATTATTTGTTTTTTGGGTGTTGTATCAGTTCTTTATATATTTTAGATACTAACCCTTTGTGGGATATGTCATTAGCAAATATCTTCTCCCATTCCTAGGTTGCCTTTTAGTTTTGATTGTTTCCTTTGTTGTGCAGAAGATTTTATTTTGATGTAGTCCCAATAATTTATTTTTGCTTTTATTTCCCTTGCCTCAGGAGACATATCTAGAAAGAAGTTGCTATGGCCCGATGTCAGAGAAATTACTGCCTGTGCTCTCTTCTAGGATTTTTATGGTTTCAGGTCTCACATGTAGGTGTTTTATCCATTTTGAGTTTATTTTTGTGTATGGTGAAAGAAGGTGGTCCAGTTTCATTCTTTTGCATGTAGCTGTCCAGTTTTCCCAACACCATTTGTTGAGGAGACGGTCTTTTTCCCAATGTATATTCTTTCCTCCTTTGTCAAAGATTAATTGACCATATAATTGTGGATTTATTTCTGGGTTTTCTCTTCTGTTCTATTGATCTATATGTCTGTTTTGTGCCAGAACCATATTGTTTTGCTTACTACAGTTTTGTAATAGAACTTGAAGTCTGGAATTGTTATACCCCCAGTTTCGTCTTTCTTTTTCAAAATGTCTTTACTATTCAGGGTCTTTTGTGGTTTCATGTAAATTTTAATATTGTTTGCTCTAGTTCTGTGAAAAATACTGTTGGTTTTTTGATACAGATTGCATTAAATTTGTAGACTGCTTTGGGTAATATAGACATTTTAATAATATTCTTTCAATCCATGAGCGTGGAATGCCTTTCCCTTTCTTTGTGTCCTCTTTAATTCTTTCATCATTGTTTTATAGTTTTCAGAGTACAGTTTTCATCCCTTTGGTTAAGTTTATTCATAGGTATTTTATTATTTTTGGTGTAGTTGTAAATGGAATTGTTTTTGTAAACAGATGTTTATGTATGCAAGTGGAACATGGACAAATGTTTTCTTCTTTCAACTTGCACTGGTAGAAAGTGAGTAAAGGTCTTGCTTTGGATAGTGTAAAGTATCAGACACAAGAGAATATGGCCAAATGCTGCTGTTCACAAGATATATCCCCCCACAGAAGTTTACATTTTACTCAATATGCTGAGTCCTGCCCTCCCAAAAAAAGAGAAAGCAGGCAATTTGCCTTAAATGAACATAAACGAATAAACAAAAAACCCCTCAAATCTGGCAAATCTGAAAAGGCACCCCATGGAGATAAAGGTCTGCTGGAAAATGATTATGTGTTGGGTTGGAAGAAGGCAGAAGGCTTGAGCAGGGCTCCATGTAGAGCATGTTGCTGCAAACTGACAACAAGCCTGGGATCCGCTATCCTGAGACAGCCATGGACAAGCATGTGTTCTGTCAGTGCCCACTTCAGGCAACATCTGGTGATGTGGGAAGTGGGGCTAGTTTTAGTTGGTGGGGAAACATTATCAGAAAAAAAAAAAGAGAGCAAGGCCCTGGGCACATGAGACTATCTTCAGGAGGGAACTAGGGTGTCTTTCCTAGGACTCCTGAGACTGAGCTTTGAGGAAAAAGCCGCCACGATCAGCTAACATTCACTTAAAACTTCACTTTTGAATCAATTGGAGAAAGTTGAGATAAGTCACAGTACTATTAAATGATCAGAGGTGAAAGGATCTTAAAGATGATCTAATTCAACCCCTTATAAGAAACAGGGAAATGACTTATCTACCATCATACAACCAGGGTCAAAGCCATAATCCAGGTTTCCTAGTGTCTACTCCAGTGCTGCTTCTACAAGCCACACCCCTACTCCCATTTTTTTGTGTTTTTTTTGTTTTGTTTTGTTTTGTTTTAAGGTGAGCTCTACACCCAACATGCGGCTTGAACTCAGACCCTGAGATCAAGAGTCGCATGCTCTACTGACTGAGCTAGCTGACACCCCTCCCATGTTATTTTTTGAGGTGCTAAGGAATGCAAGGCTCTCTCTGCTGTTATTATATTAAAAATCAGGGTAAAGGAAGCTCACAGTGGAGATATACATAGCCTCCCCCATATGTTCTCTGTTTCCCCTGCTTCTTTAAAAAAAATAAACATTTAAAAGTCCATTCCTCTGTTAGCCACACAAGATGGAACATCTGTAGAACCTATCTGTAGAACCTATCTCTTTTGGGCAAGCCGACTGGCTGATGCACTAGAGTGGAAACTCTCATGGAAATTTCTCTTAGAAGGAAACAGATGGTTCTCCGGGGACTAGTTCTAAACACAATATTGAACATTTACTATAGAAAGGAGAACATTTTTTCTAATAATATTTCTAAAAAGTTTCCCTGAAACCTTTTGACCTTTAGTCTTATTTATTTCTTAGTAGAGCCTAATACTCTCAAAAATCCTGGATGTTCATTCCACATTAGATGTATGTCTGTCTTGCTTGCTTTGGATTAATTTGATTTGGGAAAGGAGGGGGTAATTTTCCATTCTTCAGACAACAGCTCACTTCTACACATTGTCTCCTACTCTTACATCCTCCTATCAAATTGTAGGCATGAGGAATTTCCAAGATGTTAATTTGGCCACCATGCATGCTCATTGATTTATATAGCTTCTGACTTCAGTATATTTACAGGCCCCCAAATCCAGAAGGGCTCTTATTTTTGTCCCTGAAAGATGTTTCTGTGAGTAGATACCTGTTTCTAAACTGACATCCATCTGTTATCTCTGGTTGGGTGCTCACAAGCTATCAATAAACATACAAGAAAAACACCTGGTTAGAATTCACCATCTGCCATTTTTGCTTCCACGCTGGAGAATTAGGCAATTTACTGCAATCGGGTTTGATAAAGGAGGGTGGAGGATGATTAAAAAATTCAATCATAATGAATATCAGATCCATCCAACATAGTTTGAAATCTACCAGAATAGGGGCATCTGGCTGGCTCAATCAGCAAAGCATGTGACTGGATCTCAGGGTTGTGAGTTCAAGCCCCACGTTGGGTGTAGAGCCTACTTAAGAAAGGAAGGAAGGAAAGGGAAGGGAAGGGAAGGGAAGGGAAAGGATCTACCAGAATAACTCCTAGCAGTTACAAACACAGCTTATATAAGTATAAGCTATATGGGGGTAAAATTCTATCACCTCTTTTCTGATTCTAAAGCAGGAACTTACACAAGAAGGCTTGCTTGAGTGAAGTTCCTATGTTCATGTATCCTCTTTCTAATCAGTACTTGCTCTAGGTGCAGCCATCCAGGATTGACAGCTGTGTGTTTTCATATGAAGAATATTGCATGTTTTGAGACCTTAGTGTGTGAAGAGCAGAATGGTGAGGAGGTAGCATTTCATAAGGAAGGCCTCACCTAAACTGACCAGTGGTGACTTGCAGGCTTCTGTGGGAATGAAAGTCTTATAGGTATGGTAATGGTGGGCCTGCCTTATTACAGGAAGCTGGAGACAACAACCAGTTCTGTTGGAGGAACCTCTTTTCCTGCATTAACCTTCTGAGGCTGCTCAATAAACTGACCAAATGGAAGCATTCCAGAACCATGGTGAGTGGGGTTTCAGATCATAGAGGTGTCCATCTGACTGAATTTTTTAAATCTTAAATATTTATGGACTTCCTGCTTTGTGAGCTCTATAGACAGACAATGAATGCTACATAAGGTGAACACCTAATTCTGGGTACTTGATCTATATGAGATAATTATTCACCAGTCCATTTCTTTACAAGGAGCTAAATATGGACCCTCCCCCAGGGCCGCTCTGGTTGGAAAGTTAGCATTGTTGTTTGGATTACAAGCACACATCCCAAATGATGCAAGTCTAAGATTATTCATTGCAGCATAAATCATGAACGATTGGAAACAATCTAAAGCCTATTAATACAGGACCAACTGGTTAAATAATTTTGGTACATCCTTATAATAGAATATTATACAACCATTAAAAAGAATGAGGCTGAAAAAAAAGAATGAGGCAGTTCTATATTGATACGGAATAATTTTTTAAGATATATTGTTAAATAAAAAGCAAGGTATGGAACAATGTGACAGGATATGTAGTTGGCTGTGGTTTTTGTTAATAAAAATATGTGAATATAGAATTATGTATCCAGAAGATACATAAGAAACTGATAACAGTAGAAATGGGATGTGTGTCTGACAGAATTATTTTGCTCTTTATATCACATACTTTGAATATTAGAAACTTTGAATTGTGACATATAATTGTGACATCTAAATATAAATAGAACCTGAACCATAGATTCCCAGGGTATTGAGACCAGTCAGGTTTGGCTTAATTTGTTTGCGAGTTGGAAGTTCCAAGAAACGTTAGATCCTTATCTGCCTTTCTTCACTCTCACCCCTCTTTAAATGGGTAGATGCTGGTGGTATTCAAATCAGCTCCAATCTTAAAGCGAGCCCTCAAGGTCAAACAGGCCATGCTGCAACTTTATGTTCTGAAGCTGCTAAAAATACAGACCAAGTACCTGGGGCGCCAGTGGAGAAAAAGTAACATGAAAACCATGTCAGCCATCTATCAGAAAGTACGCCACCGCATGAATGATGACTGGGCTTATGGGAATGGTGAGTATTTTCAGAGCTCTTGACCTCCAGGAGTTGCCCAGGGTTTAAACAAAACTAAATAAGGGGCACCTGGGTGGCTGCCTTCAACTCAGGTCCTGATCTCAGGGTCCTGGGATCAAGCCCCTCCCACCCCTCTGTTGGGTTCCAGGGTCAGTGGGGAGTCTGCTTCTCCCTCTCCCTTTGCCCCTCCCTCCCCACCTCTCGTGCTTTCTCTCACATGCTATCTCTCAAATAAATAAAATCTTTAAAAAAATAAAACTAAATAAACATTTATCTCTACTTTTTTGGTATAAATGGTTACACAGTTTAGATGAGAAAATATGTATGTAATTATAGTCAGGTGCTGATATAACAAACTTTAGGGTTACTGCCCCAAATTCTAGCATGTGCCCTGGTCCTATATTAACTATAAAAATCCATTTTAGGGTGGCTCAGTTGGTTTAGCGTCCAACTCTTGGTTTTGGCTCAGGTCATGATCTAATGGCCATGGGATCAAGCCCCATGTGGGACTCCACTCTCAGCAGAGAATCTACTTGAGATTCTCTTCCTCTGCCCCTCCCCCCACTTGCACATGCATGTGTAGGCTCTCTTTAAAATAAATAAATAAATCTTTTTTAAGAATCCATTTTACAGGGGCGCCTGGCCGTCTGGCTCACTCAGTAAAACATGCAACTAGTGATCTCAGGGTTGTGAGTTCGAGCCCCACACTGGGGGTAGAATTTGCTTAAAAAGATTTCCATTTTATAAAACAGGTAAATTAAGAGATAATTACCTCCTTTTGAAAACATTCCTTTAAATGACAGGTTTCTCCAAGAGATTTCTAAAATTAAAATAACCTTTTATTATTAAAAAGCAGTTAGAAAAAGAAAAATAAAAAACAGCTTTCCCTGCTGGCTTAGTCGGAAGAGCACATGACTCTTGATCTCAGGGTTGTGAGTTCGAGCCCCAAGTTGAATGTAGAGATTACTTAAATAAATAAACTTAAAAAAAAAAGGCAATTAGAAAATACAAGTCAGAAAACTTTTTACTATATCACCATATTTATGCCTTATTTGTACCACCTGAAGATTGCCACTGTTAACATCTTATTGTATATTTTTCCAGACCTTTTTCTTTGCATATATACACATTTTACTTAAATGATAGCAAATTATACATACTATTTCATCATCTTTTTTCAGTTAACATTGTCTACATCTTTCTATATCAGTATGTTTTCATTTTATCTAGTAAGTCCATATTCAGAATTCCCCAGTTGTCCCAAAATGTTCTCTTTTTGTAAGTTTTATTTATTTAAGTAATCTCTACACCCAATGTGGGGTTCAGTCTCATGACCCCATGACCAAGAGTCACACTCTTCTGACTGAGCCAGCCAGGCACCCCCCAAAATGTTCTTTAAAGCTATTTTTTTCAAGTCATAATCCAACCCAGGGCCACAAATTTCATCTAGTTGTTCTATCCTTTAATTTGTAAAACCTAGCAGTGTTTTGTTTCCACTTTTTTTCCATAATGCTGACTAATTGAAAAACTAGGCCAGTTGTCCTGCTGAATATCCACCTTCTGGATTTAGAAATGGCATCATTTGCCTTATCTCTCTATCTCTAGTGTTACTAGTAAACTGAAAGTTAGATCCAGAGGTTCGATGGATTCAGTTTAAACATTTTCAGCTGTAGTACGTTTGAGGTACCATTGGGAATTGCATATTGTCTCACATTAGGAGACATTATAATATCTGGTTGACTACCAAGATATGATAGATTAACCAAGTTTGGAAGAATTTATTTTGGAGAACTTTTTCATTGTACTGACATTTGCTGTAGTGGGATTTGACCATTATTTGCATAATTGTATTTAAGAGTTTTTGGTAAAGATAACTAAAGACTTGTTTTTGCTGAGGTTTGTAACCTGCCTAAATTTTAGAGAATGCTGAAGTAAAAAACCCACAAAAGTAAAGGAAATATATGATTGGCAGGTAGCAAGCCAGGATGCAACTTCTATGAGACATAAAGCCAATTAACTATTTAAATTCTTATAGATTTTTAAAACATATAAATGTTTTATCTTGCAAATGGCGTAACTATTGTCGCTGCCATCATGAAGACAAACCCAATCTACACTTCCTTAAGATAAACCATTAAGGGGCATCTGGCTGGCTCAGTCAGTAGAGCATGTGACCCTTGATCCTGGGGTCATGAATTCAAGCCCCATATTGGATGTAGAGATTACTTAAAAAAATAAAATCTTTATGTTTTTAAAAATTTTTTTTATTTGACAGAGAGAGCTCACAAGCAGGGGGAGCAGCAGGCAGAGGGAGAGGGAGAAGCAGGCTCCCCACTGAGCAGGGAATCCAATCCCAGGGCCTGAGTTGAAGACCGATGCTTAGCCAACTGAGCCACTCAGGCACCCCCAAAATAAAATCGTTAAAAAAAAAAAAAGATAAACCATTGAGTGTGGGACATAAGAAATCTGGGAAAGCTGTATCTCTAGCCCTGAAATAAGTGTCTGAGTAGGATAAATAGAAGAAAGCAGATTATCTGTTTTCTGTTTTTACCTTCATGGAAGCTTTCACCTCATAATTTTAACATACGCTGACACATACATTTATCATATGCTGGGAGAGGTCACAGGGAATCAGTAAAGTCTTCAGTAATTGGTCCATTCTGATTCTCCTTGTTGGACCTCTTCTTGCCTCTTTCCATTCCTTGAGAGCTCGTGATTCCATTCAAATGGGTAACTCCCATACCCTAGGAAAGCTCAGTAAAAGGAATTGAGTTGCCATTTTGAAAAATATAATACATATAACTAGTAAGAAAGTGAAATAATGAAAAGGAAGTACAGTAAAAAAAAAAAGTCCACCTCCCTCAGGGGCCTTATTTCCTTCTCAGTGGTAATCACTGTTAGCAGTTTCTAGACTACCTTTCCAAAGATAGTCTCTGCATATACAAGTGTATTTTTTAAACTGAAGTGACAGCATATTATACACTTACTTTGTACATTGCCCTCCACAAAAAGGAAATTCTGAGCAGTTTCACTATTCTTATCCCATAGACCATACTCTGTGGTAAGAGGAGCAGAGTCCTGAGTTGTATACATGTTCTTCTTCCTCTCTTCCCCATACAGACATCGATGCCAGGCCATGGGACTTCCAAGCAGAAGAATGCACCTTGAGGGCCAACATTGAGGCTTTTAACAGCCGCCGGTATGACAAACCCCAGGACTCTGAATTTTCACCTGTAGATAACTGCTTGCAGAGTGTGCTGGGGCAGAGGTTGGATCTGCCTGAGGATTTCCACTATTCATATGAGCTCTGGCTGGAGAGAGAAGTGTTTTCACAGCCCATCTGTTGGGAGGAGCTGCTCCAGAATCACTGACTGAGCTCTTAACAACAAAACATCTGATAGATGGGCTTAGGCTCCAATAAATGGTGCTCTGCCTACCCTGCCCATTCAGCCTTTGTTTCCAGGTCTGGGAGTGCTTGTCCAGGGGAAAGCTGGGCTAGCCCAAGGACATCCAGTGTATTGCAGGGCCATTCTGGAGGCTTTGGGCCTGGTGATAGTGCAAGGCTAGGATCCTGAGTCACAACAAATTGGTCAACTTGCACTGGGGTCAGTTGGGTGCCCAGTTGGCCTTGAAAATCTACTGGATCAGTCCTGGACAGGCTCTGTAGTGGGACTGCTCCCTGCTTTAGTCTTGCCCAGAACCAGGCTAGCCTTTGCTGACCCCAAGAGTGAGAATAAGTTTATAATGGCATTTGACCCATGACATTCATCATAGGTAATGGGAGAGACAAGTCATAAAATAGGGAGAACATTTCCTTCTTGCTTACCCTGGATTCCTAGGACTTAAAAGAGGTTTGGCAAAGCCATCTTTGAAATTAAGTCTGTATTTTAAATTAAAAATTTTGACACCTCTTTCTAAAATTATTAGCTCAAAGATGATTTTAGAGCACCTGCACCTTCTTTGTAAAGGATAATGATTTACTATTACCTAAATACTGCATGTTATAGTAAAGTATATTGTGTAAAGTTTTTTTTCTCTACTCCTAAAGAGATCTATGTTCAATCTGAAAATTATTTCTCTGTGTATTGTGTATAGGGCATGCAGTGCTCTGCCACAGCCAGTCTGAAATAGGCCTCCTCTAAGGATGTTTCATGCTTTTCTGAAACTACTTCAGTCTTCAAATGACTGAGTACACTGTAAAAAATTATCCTTTTCATCCAATTCATTTTTTAAATGACAAGTAACTACAGGAGGTTTTATTTATTGAGATGGCTATGTCCATTTGTGCTCATGATCGATTTTTTAATTGAATAGAATAGCAACAGCATCACAGCTTACCATTTTTCTATGTTGATCAATGATTTTTTTTTCCCTTTTTACTGCGAGTACTTTCAAAGTGTCGTATGGAGATTTAGCAATATACTGTTCCTACCTAAAAGTATTGCACACTTCTTTGAAAATACAGGGGTTGATAATATCAACCTCTTTAAACTTCTTTTACAGCAGAATCACATATTTGTCAGGGCGCCTGGATGGCTCAGTCAGTTAAGTGTCTGACTCTTGATTTTGACTTGGGTCATGATCTCAGGGTCATGAGCTGGATCTGCATCCCCACATCCTGCTGGGCTCCGCACTCACTGGGGAGTCTGCTTGAGATTCTCTCTCTCTCTTCCTCTGTCCCTCCCCTTACTCCATACATACTCTGTCTCTCTCTAATAAATACATAAATCTTTAAAAAAAATCACATACTTCTCAACAGAAACAAGGTTTTTAGAAAAGCTTCTGATTCGATCAGGATCATTTTATTTCTCTTCTGTCACCACAATTATGTCATCTATATTTTCAAGCTTTTTTATTTTAAGTGCCCTCCCCCCTGATATAGACATTACTGAATCTTTTTTATGATAGCACCAGGCCACTTTAATTGTGCCAGGAGGTCTAGTAAAAAATGGCTTACTCTGTCAACCACAGTCTCATTTGGAAGTCATGGTACAGTTATTAACGATATCTAAAGGAACTAGACCAGAACTCTAACTAAAGCTTGGATTTTACCTTTTTGAGCTTTAAGGTAGCAGGACTTCTGTTTTTATGGAAAGGTAATGAAGAATGTAAGTATGTAATGGATGACATTTCTTAAAATAATTTGTAAATTTTACCTGAGTAAGACAGCTGTCCTCGCTGCAATCAAAGTAATTCACTGAGCCTATCATCTATGAACCCTATTAATCTATTTTAATGTGGTTTAACTGAAAAGACAATTTTCAAGGAAAGAGCAGTCATCAATCTATTTCTCTTAAAGCCATATAGTATTTAGTTTGTGTCAAGAACAAATAAGTTGCCCTTTTAAAAATATGCACATGAATGCTTTCTGAGGCATAGAAGTATGCTAAGCTTTAACATTTCATACTTTTTTACAAGTCTTCTCTTAAGGGAAGATTAATTCTCAGTGCAGATGGAGAAACTGAGATACCAAGAAAAGTGATTAGTTTCAAATCACAACCTTTTTTTGCTGACTTGCTGGGATAGCATTCAGGTATTGACAGCCAGCCCCATATGTTAAAGTAACTGATTTGAATCTTCCAATTTGAGAACCCATGTGGGTGGTTAGGAATAAATTCAGATTAACCAACCTCCAATGGTGATTACTGTTACTACTTAGAAGGACATTATTTGAGTGATTTATAGAGGATTTTTATTTGTGAATACTTCAGTAAAGTTTGTGTTGTTGATAACACTGTTTATCTACTGAAAGCACTTTAATAAAAAGAAATTGAACTGGAGTTAGAAATTTGGTCTTTAATTCAACATAAAAGAGTCTTAAAGACAGATATAGAAAGGAATAATATATAAAGAAGATGAATATATAAAATCTTGTGTATTCCCTGGGGGTAGACTAATATAAACACAACCGCAAAATCTCAATGGCTTATAACAAACCTTTATTTCTTCTTTCTGGGTCTGGGGATCAGCTGCAGCTCTGCTCCACTCAGGTTAACTTGCTAGATTTAGCTCTGCTCCACACATCATCTTATTCTGGCATGAGGCTGATGGAATAGCTCCTGCCTGGGACAAAATCTCATGGTAAAGGGCAGAAGCAAGCACCAAACCATACCATGCAAGCACCTGGAGGGTGCTTAAAGCTCCTGCTTGGATGTGGCATAAGTCATACTTACATACTTTTTGCTCATACTCCATGGGCAAAAAGCCATTCACATGGGGCAAACCTAACACTGGGCCAGAGAAGTACATTCTACCTACGGAAGGCAGTTGCAACCAGGCATATGGGTAGACAGTGAGTCACAGCAGCTTCTCAGTGAAATTTTGAGATTGGTGGTAGGGCTTTCTTAGAGATTCTTGAGAATTTCCACAGCTCTCCAGTTTGCATTTGAAACCACCCATTTTTCAGTGCTTTATGCTGATATTTTCAGCTGTGACTTTCTTGACTTTTGTGTACATAGTACCCCCAGCTCTTCATCTAATAATAATCTTGGTTCTATAAAGACAATTCTAGAAACAAATGAGTGTTTTGATGGTCTCTTTTTCTCCCACAAGTAGTTGTGATGAGTTTGAAGTCTTTCCTCTAGGCCTTCTTGAGATGACCTATATTTGCAATAAAACTAGCTGAGACTAAATATGCAGCTGTAGTTCTGGAACAAAAATGACACTGGTTCATACAACCATCAGACTTGTGACTTTGATCTCATCAGTGCTATTATTGACGTGCTAAGTAATCACCTTATTATCCAGGCTAGGTCAAGTGTGAACTTGGCAACTCTTTGGCACTCTGCGAAGGTGCTAAGTATGTTTAGGGTAATTTGTGGAGGCAAAGAAAGTCCTGCCACTATCTCAGAAATACTGGGCATGGTCAATTAACATCTGCTCTACGTATACTATAATTCCAGGCCAGACTTTTCTGTAATGGTATGATAAAATGTTTTCTGTAATAAAAATGTCTTACAAAATATTATGGAATTTATAAACAACTTTTGTGAAACACCAGTCAGTTTTAGAGCAGCTACTGCTATTCTTACATGTATTCAATACTAATACATATTTTAATGGATATTTTATATGATGCTTTTCAACACGAGAGATATCAAATACATACATACATACATACATAAAATATATTTTAGAGTAAAAATGTCTACAGCATGATTTTATTCTCTATACATTAAATAAAACTTTTGTCTGCCTCTTGGCCTCCTGCTTTCTCATTTTCTCTCAACCAAAAAAAAAAAAACAGAAGAATATAGTGATAGTGAAGAAAATTGCCTCCCGTATAATCCCACCACTCAACAGTGAGCTATTTATATGGTGGCAGTTTAACAATATAAGGAATTGTGTAATCTCTAAAATAGGGTAGAGCAAAGGGCTAGATCAAAGCTCTGTCTATATTGGCAGAGCATTTTGTACAGCAACATGCAAATACTTCTGGAAATGTTGGCATGGGTAAGTCCTAATTGGTGGTTTTGGGGAAAGCACATGAGTTATTTTACTCATTTTTTTCCACTAATGAATTTTCAGTGGCCTCTGGTATTCCTTCAGAAGTCCTGGTATGGAAAGTTTATAGAAGGTAAGTCCTGAGTACTTTATACTTTCAAACACCTTTTCCGGGTGAATGCATTTTCTAAATGTTTGGCTATTCTAATGTTAGCCTTAAAATGTTAAACCTCAATATTTGGAAGATTTTTCACGGAAATGTATTCTTGCGTTGAAGGGATCAGATCATCTAAGACAATCTCCATCCAACCAAGAATTCCTTTAATTAGTATCAGCTACATGTTTATCTAGCCTCTAATCTTTTCACTGACAGTAATCTCACTATGTCATAGATTCAGTAGTAATAACTGAAATGTCTACAAAAGAATTAACTACCTCAATACAATCAACTTATGGTATTATTTGAGCCAGAAGAAACATGAATACATTTATGGAATCCAAACAACGGACATTAGTTATTAATTGTACTTTCTTCCCCACGTATTCGTTTCCCAGGGCTGCTGTAACAAGTCACCAGAAACTGGGTGGCTTAAAACAAGAAAAATATATTCTCTCACAGTTACAGGGGCCAGAAGTCTGAAATCAAGGTGTCAGCAGGACTCACTCCCTCCAAAGTCTCTAATCATTTCCTTGCCTCTTCTAGCTTCTGGCAGCTTCTGGCTTCATGTCACTCCAGTTTCTGCCTCCGTGGTCACATGGCTTCCTCTTCTCTCTCAAAAGTCCCTCTGCTTCTCTCTTCTAAGGATACCTCTGATTGATTTGAAGACCCGTCAGGATAATCCCGGGTAAGCTTCTTTTCTCAAGAGCCTTCATTACATCTTTGCCATATAAGGTAATATTCACTCTTTTGCTATTAAGGTAGTATTCACAGTTTTTGAGGATAAGGACATGGACATATCTTTTGGGAGGCCACCATTCAACCCACTACACCCACGAACAATCATCAGACATGTAGTAGCAAAATTGATTAATTTACTTTTATATCATTATTAGAGGTGTAAGGCAAGGCCTGAAGGAAGTTACTTTTATTTGGAAGATGCTTGCAGCTATTGATGTAGTCAAAGAAGATTCAAGTAAAGAAAGTTTCAGGCTTAGGTAAAGGATTGGACATAAGGAAGCAGGTGTAAAATTGAAGAATACATTTAGGTATTGGCATTTTTGGTTTTTTTGGTTTTTTTAAGGTTTTATTTATTTATTTGACAGAGAGAGAGACAGCAAGAGAGGGAACACAAGCAGGGGGAGTGGGAGAGGGAGAAGCAGGCTTCCTGCCAAGCAGGAAGCCCAATGTGGGGCTCGATTCCAGAACCCTGGGATCATGACCTGAGCCGAAGGCAGACACTTAACGACTGAGCCACCCAGGTGCCCCCAATATTTTTTTCATACATGGGAGCACAACATATTCTGTCCTATACTTGCTTTTATCATATTTATCCCAGAGACCTATCTTTCATATTAATATTTTCTTGAATAATATATTTAATAATTAAATCATTCTTCTCTAACACTGCTTTAAAGTATGTTTCAGTTAAGAAGAAAGGGTATAGGTGGGAAGAATGGTGTATGTACGCCCATACATGCCTGTATATGTGTGTGTGGTGGTGGGGATGAGGTCAAGGGAGATTTACTCAGTTCTCATAGCAATAGGCCAAAGCGATTTGAAATATAATTTCCTAACAGAAGCTGTGGACATTCAGACTCCCAGATCCTGTAAAAGTAATGAGATTGTCCCTGAGTGGGCTATGGGGAGGTTTTTAGGCTGTTTGCTCCTTTACCAATTAGCCAGATTTAAATTTCAAAAAGCAAGGACTTTAAATTTTTACTTTTACATATTTTATAGAAAATAACCAAAGTCTTTCTAAGGAACTACAAGAGTACAAAAGTCATCCCATCTCTGCTCAAACACCTTCAGTGACAGTGACTTCCTTACTAAATATGACAATACCATCTGTCCCCTTGCCTCCAAATGGAAACATTAGTTTGAACATTCTGTAACTTTTTGTTCAAATGCTTAATGGAGCTGGCAGGACAAAGATCCTCCATGTGGATGCCTGTGAAAATATGTCTTCACGGTAGATGTGAGATATTTTACCCAGAAAGGCCATACAGCATAACGGCTCAGACTGAGGGTGCTCAACCCAACTTGGTGAGATATGCTATGCAGGCTCTGCATTAGCTGTGTGAAGAATGACAAGTTCTTTCCTCTCTCTCTGCCTCAGATTCCCTATCTGTAAAATAAGGATAATACTACTTACCTACCTTCTAGAATTGTAAGGGTTAAATGAGTCGATGTGCATAGAGTGCTTAGAATAATGCTTGCTAAACACGAGTGTTCAATAATTGCTGATTACTCTTATTTCCCACCTCATTCCTCTCCCTATCAAAGAATACCCAGCAAGAATAATTAATAGCATTTTAATTCTCTAGTCCAGGAGTCAGCAAACTACAGCCCAGGGGCTAAATCTGGCCCACTGGCAGGTTTTATACATACAGCCCATGAGCTCAGTAAGAATGGTTTTTACATTCTTAAATGGCTGGGGGGAAAAATCCATGAAAGAAAAATATTTTATGACACATGAAAATTCTATAAAATTCAAATTCAGTTTCCATGATAGTTTTATTGGAACACAGCCATGCTCACTCGTTTACATGCTGTCTATACATGCTTTCATTCTGCATCAGCAGAGTCATTGCAAAAGATGACATAAGGCCTGAAAAGCCTAAAATAGTTACTGAGTTTGCCGACCCTTGCTCTAGATAATTTTGTCTCCTGTCTGCTCCAGCTGGTCTTTATTGCACCCCAAGGTTCACACTGCTGGGACCCTAGTGGCCGGCCAGAGGAAATTACCTACAAAGAACATTTTATTTTTTCTGTAACTTCCTCTACAATATTAGAGCTATAAAGGATGAAGTGAATGCAGTGCTATACTGTTGAACTTAATGAGATAAAAAGAAAGGAAGAGAGGGAGGGACCAGAGTAGAAAGGAGGAAATCAGAATTTTTAAATGCAACTTCTAAGAAAGATAATCATAGAATATTCTAAGTTTAGATGTTCTAAGAATGCATGCTTCAATTCTGGCAATGTTATTTTTTTTAAAGAACAGCACAGTTTGTATTACTATTTATAAAGGAGACATAAGGATGTATATTCATAAACAGATAAAATTAAGTAGTACTATTCTTTTTCAGGTTTTTTTTTTTAAGTAAACTCTACACCCAACGTGGGGCTCGAACTCACGACCCCGAGATCGAGTCACATGCTCTTCTGACTGAGCCAGCCAGGTTCCCCACCAGTGCTATTCTAATGTGAATTTGAATAGTTATCTAAATTTAACTCATCTTCCAGTTTACACAGGAAAATTTGTTCAGTTCTTACAGAATAAACAGATAAGATTCTTAAGTCTTTTTTTTATCCCAAATCTGTCTTACTTTATTTTTTTTGTTTTTTTTTTATTTTTTTTATTTTTTTATTGTTATGTTAATCACCATATATTACATCATTAGTTTTTGGTGCAGTGTTCCATGATTCATTGTTTGTTCATAACACCCAGTGCTCCATGCAGATTCTTAAGTCTTAAACATTAAATGATTCTTAAGTGGACTGGTATTTAAGAAAAATGCCTGCATTGTCAATGACTTTTTTTTTTTTATTCTAACAGCAACCTGCGCTGTGTTATATAACAAAGTCTGTCTTTCAGCCCCACACCTCAGCAGCCCTCCTCCTTTCCCTGCAGGTGAGTGCGAAGCCTTTCTCTAGTGCAAAGGCTGAAGATCCACTTGATCGATGGAAAATAGTGCTGCCATTGAAGTTGTTCCGATTGTCACTAGACCACTTTATGTTCTGCCTGTCTACTGACAAAGCATGCTTTCTTGTGCTTTATAGCTTTTTGTCCCCCCCCCAGCTTTATTGGGGGTATAACTGACAAAATTGTAATATATTTAAAGTGTACACATGATGATTTGACACGCATATACATTGTGAAAGAATTACCACAATTAACACATTCCTCACCTCAGTTTTATATATGAGAACACTTAAGTTCCACTCTTAGCTATTTTCAACTATTCAATACAGTATTATTAACTATAGTCATCATGTTATACATTAGACCTCATTCATCTTATAAGTGGAAGTTTGTACCTTTTTACCAGCCTCTCCCCATTCCATTTTCCCTAATCCACAAATTTATATCCTTTAAAGCAAGGCTTACTGGAGATAACTTTGAATTCACAAAGCATTTTCACCTGCATTCCATCATAAATTCCTTTATGGAGCCTCCCCTTGACATTGTCATCACCTTCACAGTAACCCAAAGCAAGAAAGTGAAGCTCAGAAAATTGCATAACTAATAAGTAGTAAGGCCAAGTTTTGAACCCACATCTTCTGGCCTCACGCCCGGGGTGTCTTCCTGAATGATTTTAGTGTTTAACAGCACCAGCTGGACAGATGGACAGAGCTGGCTTTGACTCTGCTTGTGTGAACTTGGGCAAGTTACTCTTTATGGCCTCGAGCAAACTGGAGAACATAATGGAAACTACCACACTAGTTGTAGGGAAATAATGATGCCATGATGTGTGCAAAGTGCTCAACAAGGGGCTTGACATCAGTGCTCCTTCAGTGTTAACTATTATCTGCAATATGAAATGAAGGTCTAGTTTAGAATGATGACAATGTCAAGGGGAGGTTCCATAATGGAATTTACAGGGTATGCTCATGCCTTGGACTCAGCATTGGAGAGAGGAGTTAGAGATGACGGAGGGCAAGAGACTGGGAGAGCAGTGTTGCCACTGACAACAGAAACTGAGCGGCTCACAGAGGGAGAGATGCCCTCTGTCCAGAGAATAGTGTGGCCTGAAGACTGGAGCTCAAATGGAGGCCATTCTTTCTGCTGGGGGCTGTGTCATCCCAAGAGAGGTAGTCGCTGACGTTATCAGATGACCTGTCAGGTAAGGAGACACTGAGGCACAACAGCAGAGAACTAAAGACCGGACTTTGAGATCAGCCAGCACTTGGAATGCAGCAGGAGGCAGACAGACATGAGATGACTAAGTGAAGTCCTGATGAGCAAGGGGCATAATGCACAGATCAGAAGCAAGTGGGGAGACTTAGAGGAGGAGGAGGAGGGGAAGAGGAGAGCAACACTGACTTAGGCTCAGACGTCCATGAGAACGAAGAAGTGGCCAGGCTTGCTAGAATGAAGGGGATACTTCTACTGAATCATGGCCATTAGTCCATTAACGTCTCTCACTACCAATGAGGCATACAAAAACGAGTCTAAAAAAGGTTGCTCACCTTGGAGAACACAAGTAAACATCTATCGGGATGAACTCACAAAGTTGGAGACGGAACTGCACCTACTGTGTAGCCTTCCTTACTCCCGTTCGGGCCTAACAACCTTTTTTCAGGCCTTTACTCTCTTGGGACTGTACCAGGCTCTTTATGAACATTTTCCCGGGATTTTTTTTTTTTTTCCCCACTTCAACTCTCAAAGGCTGTATGTCATTTCCCAAAATAAGGTCCCGGAGTCTTCGACGACTTCTCCAAGGTCAGCCAGTGAGGGGCCCGGCTCCTACGGCGGAACCGGCCCACTCCAACCAAGCCCACGTACCACACCCGCCAGAGCACCGCCCGGTCCCGCCCCCCAGCGCGAGGCTGGGCTTCCGGGCACTCGCGGCCGTCGTCGCCGTCGCGCGAGGTGAGGTGGCCCAGCCAGCGCGGCGAGGCCGGCGCGGGACTACGGACGGACTGCCCCGCCGGGCCCAACGGCTGGGCGCCGGGCCCCGGTGTCCCGGCAACAGGTGAACACCGCGCGGCCCCGCCCCACACGGCGCGCACCGCCCGGCGTTTGTGCGCGCGGCCCCGCCGGCGCCCGCGAGCCCGGCGCCCCCCCCGCCCCGCCCCAGTGCCCGGGGCGTGCTCGCCGTGGGTCACGCGGCCCGCTGCCTCGGTGCGGTGAGTGCGCAGGCTCCGCGTGGGGGGGGCTGGGTGGCTGGCTGCCCCCTAACCCCGCCGGGGTGCCGTGGGCGTCTGGGGCTCTTGAGAAGCGTGGCGAGGTCCCGGGCCTGCGACGGTTCGCTGGCGAGTGCGGAGGCAGCCGGGTAGGCAGCAGGGATGGGCGCGGGGGCGCCGCCCCCAGGCGATGCGGAGAACTGGGCTCTCTCTCTTTATTTCAGGATTGGGAACCCATGCCACGCTCACCTACCTGCTCGACTGAGGAATTACCATGGTAATACACGTCTTATTTAAGTATAAGAAGTTCCGAGGCTTTCGCTAAATTAGTTTAATACCGCTCTGCCTCGTTGAAGCACGTTTTACCAAGATTTGTTACCCACGCCACGAGATGGGCACCTCCGTCTCCTGTCGTTGGGGAGGGGGTGTCCAGCCTAGTGATCTGAACACTTGGGGCACAAAGATGACGGGGAGACGGGTTGCCCAGGTGGTCTGCGCGCGCCAAAGGGAACAGCGAAGCAGGATGAGGCCGAGCCCTCTTTTTGCGAGTTGGTTAGTTTTCGTTCCTTGGTTCTGTTGAGGCACTTTCATAACCATATATGTGGGAAATAAAGAGAGGCGGGTATCAGGGTGTGAAACCCCAGAGTGCCAGCCCTTTGTCAACAGGGACTGGCCGAGGCACTTACCCCCTGCTGCCGCTGTCCTGGGTCCTGTGCAGGATTCTCCTCTACTGATTAAGAGGCAGAAAACCAGCGCCCGAGCGACCCGGACTGCAGGCTCTAACGAGTGATTCTCTCTTCAAGTCCTAGTTTGAGGAAAGGCTTTGGAGGAAATCTTTTGTGCAGGAAATTCTTGAATTTTATGCCCAGGAAGGCTTGCAACATCCTTAAACTTCCATCTCATCCCCAAGTCGTTGGTTCACAGAGCTCCATCTTAAGCCAAACCACTCCAACTTCTCACTGGATCTCTCCACCAGAGAGCATTTCCCAACTGTGTTCAAAATCCAGGTCTTTTAACCACTTCCTTCTCTGCACTTTGCAATGGCATGTTCATTCTTCTGGCCTCGAACTCATAAGCACTGCTGTTCCTCAGTCCTCATCCAGTCCCTTCTACCTGCTTCCCACCCTCACTGCCTCTGGCCAAGTCCTGCCCTCCTTACCGCCTGTCTGGACTCTGGCCGTAGTCCACTACCTCTGTCCAGGGGCTCTCCATCTCTTTTGTCCTCCTCCTCCACCAGAATGGCTGTGACCTTGTAACCCCTACCCCAGGACCTCAGGAATTTCCAGTCTGCTCAACTAAGTACCGCTCAGAGCCCAAGGTAAAGGGGCCTCAACCTCTTGAGCTTTATTTGCCATATTAACTTCTCTACTTTAAACAAAATGAACAAAAAACACATCCCTCACTAGACCCACATTCTTCTTGAAGCCTCCTGCACCTGCCCCAACTCAAGTTTTGATCTACTTTTCTTCAACATGGGCCTAGCTCAGAAGTACCTCCTGCTGCCATATTGCTGCCCAAGCCCCCATGACCTTCTACACCTCGCTTACAGGAGCTTTGCCTCACCTTGGAAAGCCTCATTCCTCACCCCCGTTTGCCTCTAGTATAGAAATGTGTTTGGTAAATCTGTGTGTTCCTTCTACTTCATTGCATATAAAAGCACTAAATAGATGTCTCTTGATTTAAATTGTGTCATTCCCCTGGTTACTGTGCGTGGTTGGTACTGTCATTCTCTTTCAGAGCCTAGGGAACTGAAGCAAAAACAGTTTAATAAAGCCATTTAAGCTAATGGATCCCCACTGGCCCTTGGTTAAAAGTTAAACACCTTAGCTTCCAAGGCCTGCAGGCCAGAGTTGCACACTGCCTACCTTCCCAGCCTGAACTCCTCTGCGCCCCCACCGGGGTTGCCTATAGGCCAACCACACTGACCTTTTTTGAGAGGTCCCTTCAGTTTGGTCTGTTCCCTCCAGCCTCAGAGCCTTTGCACAAGCTGTTTGCCTGGGAATTCCCTGCTCCTCAGCCCACAGGCTGCTCTTCAGGAACCCTTCTTCCTTCCTGTCCCAGATTAGGTCACTCCCTGTGCATCCTGTGTCATTATAAAGGACCCTGGGCTCTCACTCACAGGAGAATGAGTAAATGTGTTTGCAATTTCTCCCTCACTGGACTATAAGCCTCATGAAGACAGGAGCCTGGAGCTGCAGGTCCTGGTGCTCAGTAGATATTTGTTAAATATTTGTTGAATGAACGAAGGAGTCATCTTAAAATTCACAAGGGCAGATATCTGCGTTTGCTTTCTAAGTCCTGAGACTGAATTGCATCTGAGTTGCAATGTACTCGCTCAGCAGATACTTTCATACCTACAAATGTGCCAGACATTGGTCTAGGCCCTAGGAATTCGGTGGTGACCTCATAGACAAAATTCTGGCTAGGAAACAATAAATACATGAACAAAATAGCACAATTAAATAGTGGGGTGTGCTTGGGGTCAGGAGCTAGAAAGTAACTGGCTGAGAGGGTTGTTGGGAAACCATCCGTACACCCTCCCTCCTTGCCTGGGACAGCCCCAGTTTATGTTTGTTGAAGTGTCTTGGTTTGGACAATAAATTATATGGTCACCCTCGTTGTAGCTAGAATATAGACACAGTATCTGAGAGAGTTTTCTCAAGAGGTGATATTTGAGCAGAGCCCCCCCCCCCCCACAAAGAGAAGTAACAAATGATTTCCCCTGTGAAGGTCTGCGGGAAGAGGCGGGAGCAGGGAGCGGTGGAGCAGGTTTGGGAACTAGAAGGGAGGCCAGTGTGGTAGGAGCCAGTCGTCTTCATTAAGGAGTCTGGAGAGTCTCAAGTCGGGAGGTCTGTGTTCTGGGACCGGAAACAGCCAGGAGCCATGGAGTTGTGTTGAACCGACCCAACCGGCCGAGAAACAAAGTTTTCACTCACAAAAATGTCTTAACAGATTTATTGAGGTATAAGTGATGTACAATAAATTGGAGGAAATCTTTTTATTTTAATGTACATATTTTATGTACATATGTAATGCACATATTTTAATGTATAATTTGATAAGTGTGGCATCTGTATGCTCCCATTAAGCCATCACTGCGATCAAGGTAACAAACATGTTGATCACGCCTGGAAGCCTCTTTTGTGCTTCTCTGCAATCAGGCCTTTTTTCTTGCTTCTGTGTGTATCGCCCTCCTCCACCCCCCATCCCGGGCAACCGCTGATCTGCCCTGCCTGTATAGGTTACTTTGTAATTTATAGGATTTTTTTATATATGGAATTATACAGTATGTAGGGGTTTTTGGTCTTGTATAATTGTTATTATTATTTTAAGATTTTATTTAAGTAATCTCTGCACCAACGTGGGGCTCGAACCCACAGCCCTGAGATCAAGAATCACATGCTCCACTGACTGAGCCAGCCAGACATCCCTCACTTATAGAATTATTATTATTTTTTAAAGATTTTATTTATTTATTTGAGAGAGAGAGAATGAGAGATAGAGAGCACGAGAGGGAAGAGGGTCAGAGGGAGAAGCAGACTCCCCGCTGAGCAGGGAGCCTGATGCGGGACTCGATCCTGGGACTCCAGGATCATGACCTGAGCTGAAGGCAGTCGCTTAACCAACTGAGCCACCCAGGCACCCTGTAGAATTATTTTTAAATAAATTTTCCCATGTTGTAGTTGTAGCATGCATCAGTAGTCCTTTTTATTGCTGAGTGGTATTCCAGTGTACGGTTATACCACAGTTTGTTTATCCGTTCACTCACTGATGGACTTTTGGGCTCTTTCCAGTTTTTAGCTAGCACAAAGTTACTACAGACATTTCATGTACAAGTTTTAGAACATATATACACTTTTATTTCTCTTGGTAAATACCTAGCAGTGGAATGGCTGGCTCATATGGGAAGTATGTTCTTAACCTTTTAAAGAAACTGCCAAAGTCTTTTCCAGAGTGGCTCTTTCATTTTGGATTCCCACCAGCAGTGTAAGAGAGTGCCAGATCCCCCACATCTTCACCAACACTTGGTCTGGTCAATGTTTGTAACCTGAGCCGTTATAATGAGTGTGCCCCAGTATCTCATTGTCGTTTAAGTGGATTTCCCTAATGTTGAGTATCTTCTCATGTGCGCACTGGCCATATGTATATCTTATTTGGGAAAGTATCTGTTCAAATCTTTTGACCATGTTTTATTGTTTTTGTTTGTTTGTTTTCTGGTGTTTTTACTGTGTTTTGAGAGTCCTTTATCCATTCTGGATATAAGGGCTTTATCAGATATATGATTTGCAAATATTTTCTCCCAGTCTGCTTTTCATTTTCTTAACAATATCTTTTGAAGAGCACAAGTTTTTAATTTTGATGGTGAATTTATCAATTTGTCCTTTCATGGATTGTGCTTTGGTGTCAGATCCAAGAAATCTTTGTCTAACCTAAGGTCATAAAGGTTTTCTCCTGTATTTTCTTCTAGGACTTTTATACTTTTTGGTTTTATATTTAGGTATATGAGCCATTTTGAGTTAATTTTTGCTATGGTAAAAGCATGGATTGAGCTTCCTCTTTTTGCAAATGGATATGCATTGTTCCAGCCCCATTTTTTGAGGAAATTATTGTTGCTGGATTGTTGAGCACGATGGTCGAGAGAGAATTCTTGAGACGTTTTAGGTGCAGCTTAGTAAGTTTATTTAAGTAGCGCAGGGACAGGACCCCTGGGCAGAAAGAGCTGCACATCTGTTGTACAAAGCTGGTGGTTATATGCTTAGTGCTCAGGGGGAGGCGATGTGAGGGGAGTATTAGATCATAAATGTTTTCTTTGAATTTCTACTCATAAAACTACTTTCGCAAGATTTCTCTGGTGCTTATCATTCAGCTCAATATTAACTATCGGTGAGATTTACAGATAGTCATGAGACCCTTTAAGGATGTAGCAACCGGTGTGTATTTGATCCTTATGGGAACTATGCAGGCTATAGGTCAGCCTTCTGGGCTAAAGAACATTTTTCTGCTTCTATCCCTCATCAGTTACCCATGCTCTATTGAATTGCTTTTGCACTTTTGTTGGAAAGCAGTTGTTCATCTATGTGTGGACCTATTTTTGCACTCTTTATTCTGTTCCATTGATCCATTTGTCTGTCTTGACACCAATACCATACTGTCTGGATACACTGTAGCTGTATAATAATTCTTGAAGTAAGGTAGCATTCGTCCTTTGACTTTGCTCTTTTTCAAAGTCCTTTGCATTTCCATATGAATTCTAGAGCCAGTTTGCCAATTTCTACAAAAAGATGTGAACTTGGAATAAAAATATCAAACCTTTGTGTTGAGTTTTAGTTAGCAAACTATTTTAGAGATGAAAACACTTTATGGGGGCAGTTATTCCAGGTAAGTCTTAATGGTTGACATGCAAAAAAGTATAAAATCATAAATAAAGCCAAGACCCCCAAATTTTAAGAGCTTATGGATCCTACACTCCAAGGGGGTCTTTTATCAGGAGATACAGTTATCATATGGGTTTTCATTTTGCTGTTTTTTTTTTTTAATTTGGATTTCCACATGAAAGCCAGGCCCCTGTGTTGCAAGATACTTCTCATCTTCATTCCTGAGTTTTTTATCTAGGAGTGTATTCCATTTCACTTAATAAAAATGTATTTTAGTGTTTTTAATACATCGACTATGTTTCTCTTTGTTTAGCCTGGGACATTTTTAAAGTGAGATGCTATCAACATGGCATCGATTTTATACAAATATTTAGCCCTTGCAGGTATTCTTGATAACTTACACATTCCTCTCCTTTCCCTTGCATAGAAGAGACACTTTCTAAATAATACACCTCCATCTCTTACTTTATGGATGGGTCACAGGACATAGAGAAGTCAACTCAGCTTTGTGTGGCCCTAGTAAAACTTCAGATAGTTTATTCCCACGTTAGGATGGTAACCATTCCTTTTCCCAGAAGGCACTGGCCTGGCAGCATGGTCATGGCCAGAGCACAGGTGCTGAGCTGATAGATGCTGGTTTGCATGGTGACCTTGCTGAGCCTCCACTTTTCCATTTTTAAGACAGGAATAATGCCTCTCTCCCTCGAAACTCAGCTTGGAGGATTAGTGGTGATAAAGTGATGGGGACAATCACTTACTGTTTCCTTTATGTCAGACACTATGCTAAGTGCCTTGTATTTGTCTCAACCCTCATTACTGCTTAATGAAATAGTGACTACAACATAACAAATGCCAAAATATGTGTTGGCATCCGATTATCTAATGTTTTTAATTAAATTTTTATTATGAAAGTTTCTATACATACACAAAAATAAAATAGTAAAATGAATCCCCATATATCCATTTCTCAAACTCCAAAATTGTCAGGATTTTGCCACATTTGTTTCATCTGTCTTTTGCGGGGGAGTAGGAGAGCTGCAGTATTTTAAAGCAAATCTCAGGCCTTCTTTCAGATTTTAGTGTGCATCTCTGAAACGTGTAAACATTTTCTTCCATGACCCAATGCCATTAACACACCTAACAAAATTAATAATTCCTTGATATTACCAAATGTCCCTGGTTGCCTAAAAATGTCTTTTTACAGTTTGTTCAAATCAGTGCAGACAAGGTCCACCCGACCGTTAGATTAGGTTGGGTCTCTTTTAATCTGGGTGCTTCATACACATTTGTTGAATTAGACCGCACGTGACTTCTCCTCTCACTCCATGCAAAAATTTTTGTTACTGTTACAGTTTTTTGGTTTTCAGGAGTTATTTTTCTTATGTTCAACAGGAAATGTTGAAAATTATTGCAAGGTTATAAAAACTAATTTTTGCCCCGTATATACTTGTCTTTGAAAGCCAGGTAAAGGGAAACGAGGAAAAGGCCGAGGCAAGTCTGGCGGGAAGAAACAGAAGAAACCGGAAGTGGACATTCTCAGCCCCGCTGCCATGCTGAACCTCTACTACATCGCCCACAACGTGGCCGACTGCCTGCAGCTGCGAGGCTTCCGCTGGCCAGGTGCTCCCAAATCAAAGAAAGGGAAAAACAAGACTTAGTAGCATTTCACAGAGAGCAGAACTTAGGGAAGAGAAATCAGGATAACACAACTACTGCAAGCAAAATAGACTTTACTGAAGACAATTTGAGATGCAAGCTAAGTGTGCTTTTCTCTGGTAGTTAATGATAAAGAAATGCATTTTACTTCCCAGCTAAATTCAGCAATAGTTAGCCAATTTGCTTTTTCAGAAGAGGTCAAGGCGGGTGGGGGGGGAGTCCGAGTAATTCCTACCAAGCATGGTGGAATTGATAGGACTTTAAAAATTATTATAATTCTGGGTCAGAATAAACTTTGTTCTCAAAAGGCAGTTCTAGCCTGCATGAATTATTTTCTTTTGCCTAAACAGGTTTGTTACATAGAAAAGGCATGCCTGGGGCACCCAGGTAGCTCAGCTGGTTAAGTGCCAGACTCTCCATTTTGGCTCAGGTCTTGATTCCAGGGTGGTGAGTTCAAGCCCCTGCATCAGGCTCCACGCTGGGCATGGAGCCTACTTAAAAAAAAAAAAAAAAAAAGACATGACGAAAAGCACAGGATTTGCTTATGAACAGCCCTCTCTTGGGCACTGTTTCCTTTTTTCATCTTTTTCAGGAAAAATAATGAATACTTTGTTTCTATAATTTTTTCTTCTCAGCAGTCTGACTCTTGGCTGATTTTAATTAGCCAGGGTTACCAGTGGAGACAGATCATCACTCCTGCTCTGACCTTTCTAGGGCATATAAGCAAATGACTCAAAGGAGCTGACAGGGGACCGTGTCCCGGTGCCGGGAAATGGAGCAAATCAGCACACATCTCTCCCTTCTTTCCATTTCACTGGACTCTTCTCCACGCTTTTCCTCCACACTTACATCTTCCTTCCACCTTCTGCAGGCTTCCTTCTAAACGTTCTGACCCCGAGTTATAGAACTGGTGCTAGAAACTTGCCATGGGCATTCTGCTGCTATTCCATGATCCACGTAAGAGATAAAACTGCAGTTCTTTCCCTTCAGTCCAAAAGGCCTAAAAGCCCCAAATGTGAAACTTGGAAGGAAAGGCATTTTGAAGTATAAACACCATCTCTGAATCACTTAGCATTCCATCCCTGCTCCCGCTCTGTCTTGCTGGCATGTTGTACCACGTTCCCAAAGCTGACACCTGCACTGTGCTCTGCAATCGCAGGTGTGGGCCCCAAGCTGATGCCTCTAAGGCAGCACCTGTCCAGGGATGATCTAGTTTGTCTGAATTGCTTGTAATGATGCTGCAGGTTGCCTGGTAAGGATCTCAAAAATTCACGAAGTCTGCTAAGAAAGGCTGCAACCTAGGACTCAGGATTTCATAAATATCAGAGGAAAAAAGGCGATCACACGAATCCTTGTACTAGAGAAGTGGGGTGCTCACACCGCACGTGAGCTTGCTGGGAGTGACATTCCTCTAGCTGTCCCACCTGCGCAGGTGAGACCCTGACTAGTTGCCAGAGGAGCCCTCACTCGGGTGAAGGTTGGTGCTGCTCTTAAGCTGAAGGGGGGCCCTCTGGGTTCTCTGTGGACGGGCTTTGGAAAGGGAGCACCTTCCCACTCTGCTAGACACTGCTGGGACGGACCCAAGTGGTTTCTGTGAACGCACTAACTCCAGTTCAGTCCTTCTCAAACCTGAGCAAGCAGCACCCGGAGGACATGTCAAAGGATGGGGGTTGGAAAAAATTTCAACCACCCACTGACAACATCCCAGTCATCCAACAGCTAGTCAATGCATAGTCAGTCCTCTGCAACTGTCTGGGAATTTTCGCCTTCTTCCTCCAGAAGAAGTGCTCAATTTTCATTGCCAATGTTCTTGGGAGATTCACTTTTCACTTGGTGAAGAACTTCCATGTCATGACTGGATTCCTTTAATACCATATGTAATGTTGGATACTCAATGATCACTTTGTTCCTCAAATTGTCACGGAGACTTTTGTAAGGATCCAGTTCATAATACCTTACTAAATTTTGCTGCATATATTCAACCTTCATTAAAATTTGGACCCCAGTTTGAGAGCGAATGTAGGCTTTCAACCTTTGACGAATTACAGGATCGGACTTTTCAGGATCAATGTAAGGTCTTAGGATTTCATTAATAGTTTTATCATCTGGTACTCTTTTTTCTATGTACACAGCTTGACTCTGAGGAAATTGGAGCTTCACATGCCAACAAAACTGTTGTTTTTTCTTATCAAAAAATGTTGAATTTTCTTTTCTCTTGGTGAATCCATTGGGTAGAAGCTTTAAGTTAATACCTTGTCTTCTGGCACGATTTTTCATAAAGTACATATGTTTATTGCTTATTGGTCTTTTTAAGAAAGCATCTCTAGAAATGTGGTCTGCCGTTCTTGCCACATCTTCCAAAAACCGATAATCACTTAGGAGATTCATTTCAGTAAACTGTTATATGGAAACATATGCAGTCTTATCCCGGACTCCATTACAGGTCAGTTCTGCTTTGTGTTTCTTTACACAGGACAAACTGCAGGAATATCGCATACAACGTGGACATTTGTACTTTGCTTCTTCTGTACCACAAGTTTCACACCTTGACATGGCCAGTTTCCGTTTGAAACCCACTGGTGGATTTATCTGAGGCTCTTCTTTCACCTTTGGATCATCCATCACTTCTTCCTTTGGGAAATACTTCTCTTCTTTTACACAAACGTCATCCATCATTTCCTCCTTTTTTATGTTCTGAGCAACAAACACCTCCTCTTTTATCTCCAAGTTATCTTTCTTCTCTTCCTTCACATCTAGCCAGTCCATCACCTCTTCCTTCACCTTCACTTTCTCTTCTTTTACCACAAAACTACTATCCATCTCCTGCTTCACCTCCAAAGTGCCTGGTTTCTCCTCTTTCACCTCAGGCCCATCCTTCACCTCCTGCTTTACCCACCGGCCATGCAGCATCCCGTCTTCCATTTCCGACCAGTCCATAACTTCTTGTTTCACAACCGTTAGGTCCACTCGCATCTCCTCTGCCGTTTGTCCACTTCCTTCTCTATCCTCTGTCTTCTCCATTCCTGCCTGTCCATCCCCCGCTTCTACACTGCCAGCGTCCGTCCCTGCTGTGCCCCGGACTCTCTCCCTACCGGACTCGAGCTTTAGCCGCGCCCCCTCAGCTCCACTCTGCCTTCCCGCCCCCCACGGCGGTGCCCGCTGCTGGACCGCACCCGGGGAGGAGCTGGGCTCTAGTTAATGCGGCCTAACCAGGGGCTGAAATGCTTGCTGAGTCTTTCAACTTGTGGGATATCTCATGCCCTCCTCTGCCTCGCTTGGTTCGGAGCTTGTATCTGAGCAGTAATGCTTATTGGAATGCTGGGGAGGTAGCATTCGCAGAGGCTTTTTCTGATCTTGTCCCCAGCGTGAATGACATCATCTGGGGAGCTACAGAGATGTGCCGGGCGGCAGACATTTAAAGGCTAAGGAGATCATCTGGAAGTGGAAATGCTTTCTTTTCTTGAGATGGTTAATGATGAAGCAGAAAGGCTAGTAAGCACTGGAATAGAGGAAGTATGAATCGGATCGGATGGGCACGGTTTACACTGAGAAGAGGAGGCTGAGGCGCAGGTCCCATCGTGATGGGGGGCAGTTAGTTTCTGTTTCCCCTTCGCTGGTGTGTCTGCCGTGTTATCATGACAGAGACACTGCAGACCAAAAGTCCACAAAGAACATTATCGGGAAAGTGAGGAAAAAATGAATATAGGCTTAAAATAATATTGTATTGATGTAAATTTCTTGGCCATGATAATCTTATTGTGGTTATATGCCAGAACGTTCTTGTCCTCAGGAGCTAAATTATTTAGGTGGAAGGGTAATGATGTATGCAACTTACTTTGAAATGCTTCAGGAAAAAAGTGTGCATATATGTGTGTGTGTATAAAATACATATTTTCACACGTTGCCACATTTGCACTCTTTGCACATAAGATACACACATATAGTAACTATACTTGTATAATATTCAGGTATATTATAGAGATCCACAAACTAACATGTTGCCACATTTGCTCACTATGATTACGTGTATATAGGAAATATATACATCCATATATGTATGTTTACATATGGATACATGTATATACACAGTTTGTGCATGTGCAAATATGACAAAATGTCAGTTCCTGAATCCAGGTCAGTGGTTCTCAACTGGGGGCTATGCTGCCTCCCAAAGGACATTTGGGGATGTCTGAGATATTTTTGGTTGTCTCAGTGGAGGGGATGTCACCAGCATCTAGTGGGTAGAGGTCAGGAATGCAGCTAAACATCCCACAATGCACTGGACAGGCTCCCACAACAACAAATTCTCCCGCCCCAAATGTTATGGTGCCAAGGTTGAGAATGCTGGTCTAGGTAAAGGGTCTGTGTGTTCACTGTACTTTCTTTCAACCTTTCTATAGGTTTGAGATTTAAAAAAAACACGAAAGTGGTGTTTAAAAAAAAAGGTGAGAGAGGAAAGATGTGTGACAGAAAGGTGAGGAAGTGAAGAAAAAAGCATAAGCAAATTCTTCCCAGGATCTTGTCTATAAGGGGATGAATTACAGCGAGGCGAAAAGACAGCACTCCTGTCAACCACGCTAACTGCCCCCCTCCCCGAATCCCATGAAGAATTATCCCGGTGTTCATGTTTAGTAACACCTGACCAGTAATACCAGTCCCGTCCCTCAGGCACAGCTGGTTGGACCAGTGGGAGGCTCCTGACCCTTGAAAACTCATCCATTGGCCGCTATGAAGAGCCTGGTCTATTTTAAGACCAGGTGGGTCCATCAGAGTCTCCTCCCGTCCTGTAAAGACCGGGAGAACGAGGCACGTAGGAAGCTGACGCTTGGAGGAAGCATAGAAAGAGACCACAGGCTACAGCTGCGGCCCCAGGGGTTCCCCACAAGCTAAAGTTGTGGAAAAGCGGAAACCTACAGTAAGCAGACCTCAGGAGGTGGAGGAGAGATGTGTGGAGCCCAGAGAGAGGACATGGCCGTGCCTTAGACCACTTCTCTCCTTCCCGCTCCCCCTCCTCGGCGACTGCACGGGGCGTGGGCACCTGTCTGTAAACCACGAGCGAGGTGAAGCCGGCCTTCTCCCTGGGAGACACACGGTGGCCGTGGGAAATTCAGGGAGCGGTCCTGCAGGCACCAGGGAATTTGGGACTAGGGCTCAGAGAGACAGGTTGGCCAGGAGTGTAGGTTTAGATGCAGGGTCAATGCAAGCTCATGGTTGGAACCAAGGGCTGGTCAGTTGTAGAAATAATAAAGTTGCGCTGAGTCAGGAGCCATGGGGACAGTCTCCTTTCATGGGACAGAAGGAAGAGGAGGGGCTGTCAGAGATGGAGGAGGAGGGTGAGGGAACCTGGAGAAAAGGGGGGTCAGTGGGGCCACACGCTACAGGGATGTCAGGGAGGGTGAGAGAATGGGAACAGGGATCATGATCTGTTGGATGAGGGGTCCTCCTGCGTCCGGCTTCTCTCTAAAACAGGGAATGAGCGTAAACGTGGAAGGGAGGACCGAGGGGCTTCTGCTGCTGGTGCACAAACGCAAACCTCCTGTCAGAATCCAGGTCTGTCACCGGCCCTGCAGTGTGTTCCTTATCGCCCTCTGGTGGTGGGAGGATGCGGCGTGTATCCCTGAGTTTCTGTGAGAGCCCAGAGATGCCCCAGCTTGAAGCAGGGTCACGGCGGTGGCCACGTGCTCCCCGTGGCTGGCAGCCATGCACGCAGCGCCACCTGCTGTTGGTTTTGGGGGCTGCATCATGTTTTGTCTTGCCGGTCAAAGCCAACTTGGGACTGATTTTCTCCTCACTTGACATTTCTTACTTTGATAATCCTATATTGGCTGTTGCCCTCTAAAAATATGATATGATCATGTGACCCTTCTGCCTCAAACATTCCCATGGTAACCCATTGCTCTTGGGATGAGACCAGACTTCCCACCAAGGTCCACAAGCGCTGGGTGGTCCGGGGCACTCTCTCCTCCCCGCCTCCCAGCACGTCTGCGCCCTCTTCTCGGCATTCCAGCCACTCTGGCTCCCTTCTGCCTCAGACATTTTGCTCATATTGTTCCCTCTGTGTGGACACGAGTCGCCCTTTCCCCTGAGTAACTCCCAGCCACCCTTTAGGTCCCAGCTTCGTATCTTCTAAGAGAAGTCTCCTGGATCCTGGGCCAAAGCCGGTCATGTGCCCTATGCGCTCTGTGGGGCTCTGTATGTCTCCATACTTTTTTTTTTTTTTTTTAGGTTTTATTTATCCACTTGACAGCACAAGCAGGGGCAGCGGCTGGCAGAGTGAGAGGGAGAAGCAGGTTCCTCACCGAGCAGGGAGCCTGATGCGGGGCTCCATCCCAGGACCCTGGGATCATGATCTGAGCCGAAGGCAGACGCTTAACCCACTGAGCCACCCAGGCGCCCCATGTCTCCATACTTTTACAATTAAATGGCTGATTGATTAATGGTTATCTTCCCTGCTAGAATGCAGTTCTCTGCTAGCAGGGCTGGTCGGCTTGTTGATGGCTTCCTTGTGCCCTGTGACATAACCAGCACCCTGGCATATAAATATTTGTTGAAGGATTTTTCTAACAAGCTATTTATGCTACAGTAACAACCCCAAAATCTCAGTGGCTTAAAACAACAAAGGTTTATTTCTTATTAAAGCTTTAGTTCCTGGAGGGCTGACCCAAAGGTTTCTTTCTCCCTCGGGCTCCATGTCCATTGAGGGTGGGCTGGGGGCCTGCCTCCAGGGACCCGCGCTTACAGAGCAGCCAGCATTTGGGGTGTTGTAGGCTGTCAGGCAGAGAGAAAGAAAGAAAGAAAGAAATGTAAACTGCACATGGGTTCTTAAGGTTCCCACCCGGAAGTGACAGATCACTTCTCATTTTATCGGCCAGAACAAGCCACATGGCCACACCTCACTTTATGATAGTGGGGAAAAGCAATGCCACATGTGCCCCACGGGGGAACCAGAAATATTTGCTGGATAGTGCTAATAACTATCTGAAGCATGCATTGCTTCTGTAATAAAGAAGACTCAGAAAACAACAAAAAGGCTGAGAAACAAGGGGTCCAGAGAGGCGGCTTCAAGAAGAAACTCACCCTCAGGAGGCTGCAGTTGTGCTCTTGTGTTCTGTTTACTGAGCCACCTGTAGAGGTGACCGAGGGTTAGGGTACCTGAGCAAAGCAGAAGTTTTGTTTTGTTTTAATATTTATTTGAGAGAGAGAGAGAGAGCAAGCACAAGTGGGGGAGGGGCAGAGGGAGAGAGAGAATCTCAAGCAGACTCTGCGATGAGTGTGGAGTCTGATGCGGGGCTCGATCCCAGAATCCTGAGATCATGACCTGAGCTGAAACCAAGAGTCTGACGCTCAACCGACTGAGCCACCCAGGCGCCCCTAAAGCAGAGTTTTAAGTCTTAAAACTCTTCTTAGCTCTATCACATCTTCTTCTCCAATTTCTAGAGAAACCATTCAAATAAGATGATTGTTCTTAAATATTTTATTTTGATTAATGTTTAATTTATCACAATGAAACTCATAATCCAGCAATTACACTATTTGTATTGAGACTATGCTTCCTGATAGGAAGTGTAAAAAAGAAAGCCCAAGATTTTGTCAGTTGCCAAAAAAAAAAATCTGAACCCAACCTTTCCATTTGTTGAAGACAGAAGAGCAATGAAAGAGTCCCATGAAGCATGGATTCCTGCTCTGTGCTGTCTTCTTGGTGACCCCCCCCTCCCTGGGTCACGGAGCCTTGGCCGTGACCCATCACAGGAACCCTCTCTATAGCCTGCTCTCAGAGCAGCATTTGGCCAGAGGTGGCCTCCTGGTGGGCTTCACCCGGCTCTCCCCTCTGTGTCCATGGCTACAAAAAGGTCCACCAGCTCTGCCCCATGGCAGCCTTACACACTCTGAGAGACGGTTCTTGGTGGAGAGGACACGTGTTCTGCTCCAGGCCAAACACCCCAGTCCCTTCAACCACTTTTTACTTAACATGACTCCTCTTGGTCACCCTATTCTGGATCCTCCAGGGTGTCACGTCTCCTGTAGCTAGGATAGGGCACCCACGTTTCACATGCCAGTGAGGCCCTGGCCTTCTGAACGCTAGACTTTAGACCATCTTTCCAGTCCAGGCTGACAGGCTTTTGGAATAGATTCTTCACTTAAATAGCTTAAGGCTTGGTGTGGCCATTGTAGGAAATAATTCGGTGGTTCCTTAAAAAGCTAAACATAGAGTTACCATACGATCCAGCAATTCCACTAACAGGTATGTACCCCAAAGAGTTGAAAGCAGGGAGCCAAACAGATACTTACACACCAACATTCATAGCAGCACTATTCACAACAGCCAAAAGGTGGCAGCAACCTAGGTGTCCATCAACAAGTGAATGGTTAAACGAAATGTGGTCTCTATAGACAATGGAATAGTATTCAGCCTGAAAAAAAAAAGGAAATTCTGGCACAGGCTACAACATGGATGAACCTTGAAAATGTTATGCTACATGAACTAAGCCAGATTCAAAAGGACAAATATGGTATGACTCACTTGCATGAGTTCTCTCGAATAGGTACACTCATGGGGATGGAATGTAGAATAGTGGTTGCCATGGGCTTGAGGGGAGGGCAGAAAGGGAAGCTACTGTTTAATGAGTTTCTGTCTGAGATGATGAAAAAAATGTAAATGGACAGTGATGGGAGCACCTGGGTGGCTCAGTCAGTTGGGCATCTAACTCTAGATTTTGGCTCAGGTCATGATCTCAGGGTTGTGAGATTGAGGCCCCATCAGGCTCTGCACTGGGCAGGGAGCCTACCTGGGATTCTCCCTCTCCCTCTACCCCTACCCCCTCCCAAAAGAAAATTAAAAAAATGGGCACTGATGATGGTTGTACAACGTTGTGAATGTACCTAGTGCCACTAAACCAGTTACTTAGAAATGGTTAAAGTGACAAATTTTTTGTTGTGTATATTTTACCACAATAAGAAAACACAAAATCCACCAAGGCTCTTTGTTCTTGATCTCCTGTACGAGTGGGAGGGGGGGACAGCACAGACTTCCCACAAGAGGCTTTCTCTCTGCAAGTGTGCAGTGGTGGGGGTGGGAAGCAGAAGTGATTCCCCCTGCCCCAGGACTCCTTCCTCACCCGGCTCCCTCCCTCTGCACACAGTCTTATTTCTCCTCCTTTTCTTGTGACTCGGAGAAACCAGGGCACTCTTTCTGGCCTCCTGCACAACTCCACTCGAGGCCCCCGAACCACATCACAGGCCACTGCCTCCTGAACCACCCACCCCTTGACCCTCCGCCTGCCTTGACCCATTTCCCACAGAAAACACTTCATCCCTGGCCTTGCTTGACATTCCCTGGGTCAGAGTCTGTACTTCCTACCTGCTAATTCTCACCTTGGATCTGTTACTCCGTGAACGGCCTCCCCCAGTTATATCAACCTTGTGTTTTCTCTCCTGGATGAGGATGTAAAATGCATTAACGATAAATGAGGCAGAGAAGCTGCGTCTGAGAGGTCAGGCTCATGGCAGGCTCAGCACAAGGTGAGCGTGCAGGACTCTGAAGGCTGGGCAGACTCGGGCCTGCCAGCGGGTGACCCTCAGGCGGTGGCTTCTTGGACCTCCTTGGTCCCTGGCTTCTGGGACACCAGTCACCATCGTACAGACCACAGTCGGATTTGCCATGCATGGTCACTGGGAGAGCTTTGAACGGCAGTGTCCTCCCACCCGGGCCCACCTGTTGGCTATGGGAGTTGAATCGCCCAGTGCCATTTGGTCCCTTCTCTGTCTCCAGGTGTCCTTCGGCCTTGACTTCTTTGGCAGTCTGTCCCCAGGTGTGTGCAGCCCATAGGCTTCTGTTCTGTCAGACCGCTGAGCTCCATCTGCACCTCTGAAGTCACCTTCCGAGAACCTACCAAGGATGGCAGCCCGCTGCTGTGTGTGTGTGTGTGTGTGCGCACGTGTGTGTGTGTGCGCACGTGTGTGTGCGTGCGCGTGGTGCGTGTGTACCGCATTTTCCTTATCCATTCGTCTACTGATCGACACCAAGGTTGCTTCCATACTTTGGCTATTGTAAATAATACTGCCATAACCATAGGAGTGCGTATCTCCTTTTTGAATTAGGGTTTTCATTTTCTTTGGGTAAATACCCAATAGTGAAATTATTAGATCATATGGGATTTCTTTTTTTTGTTTGTTTGTTTTTAAGATTTTACTTATTTATTTGAGAGAGAGAGAGCACATGAGGAGGGGAGGGTCAGAGGGAGAAGCAGGCTCCCCTCTGAGCAGGGAGCCCGATGCGGGACTCGATCCCGGGACTCCAGGATCATGACCTGAGCCGAAGGCAGTCGCTTTAACCAACTGAGCCACCCAGGCGCCCTTTATTTTTAATTTTTTGAAGAACTCCCATAGTGTTTTCCACGGTGGCCGCACCAGTTTGCATTCCTACCAACACTGCATGAGGGTTCCTTTTTCTCCACGTCCTCATCAACACTTGTTTTTTCCTATCATTCTGATACTGGCCATTCTAATTGGTGTGAGGTAATATTTCATTGTAGTTTAGATTTGAATTTCCTGATGATGAGTGATGTTGAGCATCTTTTCATGTGTCTGTTGGCCATCTTATTAGACACTAATTAAAAAAAAAAAGCATTGTCATAGTCTTAGTGAAGGGAAATTTTCAGATGCTGAACTGAATGTTGAATTATAATCTTTTTAACGTATGGTTTCGTTGTCTTCACAGCTGTTTGTTAATAGCTGTGTGGTATTCCATTCACTTGCTGTATTGTAGTTAACCTGAGGATCCATTATAGCGGGATGTTTAC